CTCGCCGTCTTCCCCACCCTACCCTCTGTTGCGCGCGCGCGCCCCGCGCTGCGCGCCCCCGCCCCCACCCCCGCCCCCGCCCCCGCCCCCGCTCCCACGCGCCCCTTCCCCGGTGGGTGTGCGTAGAAAGTGGAACCAATCGAGAGGTGGCAGAAGCCGCCGTGTGTGACACATATTGCGGCACGTGAGTGAGACAGAGCCCCGGCAGCGCGCGCGCAGCGCAACAGGCGTTTCAAACACAGCAAACGGGACGGCCTGCGCAGCCTCTAACTATTCCCGCAATGAAAGAATGCTAAAAAATCCTTCCGGGCCCGAGAGAAGTAAGCAACGTAGTATTACTTAGCAAAGGACACGTGTGAGACACAGAGTCAGACTTGTACAACATATCCCAACATCTCGCTAGTCAAGAACAAAAGCAGTAACAGAGGCATGCATCACCTGCGCCCTTTCACGCGTGTACGATTCAGCGCCCGCCCGTAGCTAACGGGTGTGGGTCGCGTGGGCTGAGACCCGTACGTCGCCCGTAGTCTAAACCTCGCCGCCGAGAGACGGCGGCAGCTGCTAGGGCCCCCCGTGGCAGCGCGCGGGCCGGCCGGATCTGGTGGACCGTGATCAGACATTCTCCTCGCCCGCGGGAGCATCAACCTCTTCAACCTCCTCCGTCTCTCCCACCGCGGCAGGCTCCTGCGCATCCCGCGCCAGGTTGGGGTCTTCGTTGTGCGTGAACCTGTCAGTGACCTGCGACTCCTGCTGTTGCACCTTCTTCTGAAAGGCGTCCCTCGAGAACCTCGAGAACAGCGTCTCAAGCGAACGCCGAGTTGTCTTTGAGGATGACGCCGAGAGTGCGGGTCTCCATCCCAAACATGCAAAAATATGCCGTCTCCTGCTGGGGGTCGACGCATCACGACAAACCCCTAGGCGGGAGCCGTAGCGCTCAAATGGTTGGTGTCTCTCTCTCTTGAGTAAATAAAGTCGGGCAGGGACCAGGGGCAGGCCCACGCACGCCACACCGTGGGCTGGCACAGAGTCTGAGAGAGTAGTCTGTGAGTTAGGAGTCCTACTCATACTAAATAACTAGATAGACGCGAGGGCGAATTCTTTTATCCTCGAGCGAACGCCGAGTTCTGTCATCGGCTGACTTTTGAGCACATCATCAGTGAAGTGCTTCAACCCTCTCCACCGGCCGCCTCGCCACCTCAGCCGGGGCATCGCTCCACTACCCCCTCTGCGCCGCACGCACCTCCGCACGCTCGCTGCGTCACCCACACGTGCCCCGCCAACCCCTGGCACCAACGGCGCAGGCGCTGTTCAAGCGGTTCTCTTTTTGTGGGCCAAGATGGCGCACAAAGACTGGGGGCCAAGGGACACGGAGAGCGAACTCACGAGGCTCAAGAGCATCACCGACAAGGCTCTCTTGCAAAACGTCGAGAAGCGCTACAGGGCTGGCAACATCTACACGCGAAGCGGCCGCATCGTGCTCGCCGTGAACCCCTACAAGAAGCTGCCGCTGTACACGGAGGAGACGCTGCAGGCCTACAAGGCGTCGCTGGCGCCGCAGGTGCGCGGTGGCTGCCCCAGCCGCAGGTCTGTAGGGCCGGACGCGCTCTGACTCCCTCTGATGCCGCTGCAGGTGGAGCTGCCGCCGCACGTGTACGCCGTCGCCTCCTCGGCGCACTCGGGCATGCTGCGAACGTCGACGAGCCAGGTGAGCGAGCGCGGAGCCACCGCGCCATCGCGCACACGGCCGGCCCTCGAAGGGAGGGGGGCCTCACCGCGTGCCCCGCGCCGCAGTCGGTCATCATCTCCGGCGAGTCGGGCGCCGGCAAGACGGAGACCGCAAAGATCCTCCTCGAGTACCTCGCCGAGGTGAGCTGCTCGGGCTCGGACCTGCATACGCGCGTCCTCAAGACGAACCCCATCATGGAGAGCTTTGGCTGCGCAAAGACGATCTGGTGAGGCCGCGGCACGCCCCCAGACACACGCGGCCGACGCCGCACGCCGCGAGGGGCGGAGCGAGAGAGGTGTGGCGAGGTGCACCATGCTGCGCGGAAGCTCATGCGGCGTGTGTCGGCTCCTCCGCCCCCGGCCGCGCTGCCCGTGCCACGCCGCCGACCGCCCCCCTGCACCCCCTCCCTCCCCCCCGACAGGAACAACAACTCGTCGCGCTTCGGCAAGTTCCTCACGCTCCAGTTCTCGCCGACCGGCCGGATGCAGGGCGCCTTCATGAAGACGTACCTCCTCGAAAAGTCGCGCATCACGTCGCAGCTGGCGAACGAGCAGAACTACCACGTCTTCTACACCGTCGCAAAGGGCCTCTCCCCCTCCCAGCGGGCCGAGCTCCAGCTGCCCAAGGGGTCGGACGCCGTCGAGGCCTTCAAGCTGCTCAACCTCAGAAAGGCGTCTGACGTGGACTGGCGCGACCGCCGCGGCGCCGGAGGCGGCGTCCGCCGCGGAGGGGCGCGCGGCCTCACACCTCTCCCCCCGCGAGCAGGTCCGAGCTGCCCTGCGACTTCGCCGAGCTCTCTGCCGCCTTCGCCGTCATCCCCTCGCTCGCCGGCTGCCAGCTGTCGGTGTGGAAGGTCATCATGGCGGTCCTCTACCTCGGCAACCTCGACTTCGCGGGCAAGGGGGCGGTCGGCGACTCGACCGTCGCGGACGCAAAGATCGCCGACCCCTCCACCACCGCCGTCATCGCCCGCCTCCTCTCCATCCAGCCAACGGAGCTCGAGAACGCAATCTGCATCCAAAACATCAACGCCGGAGGCGAGTGGATCAAGTCTCCAAACTCGATCGCCTACGCCTCCGACGTCAAGAGCGCCCTCACAAAGGCGCGCCGCCCCCTCTGCCCCCCTCTGCCCCCCTCTGCCCCCTCTGCCCCCCTCTGCCCCCCTCGTCCCTCTCTGCCGCCCTCGCCCCCTCTGCCGCCACGGCGCTGCCGCTCTCCTGGAGACATCACTCTCGTCTACCCTCTCCGCCACAGGCAGCGCCTCCTCCGCACCCACGCCCGCAGCGGCATCCCACACGCGCCCCGCCAGCCGCGACCCCCCGGGCACAACGGCGCAGGCGCTCTACTCGAAGCTCTTCGACTGGGTCGTCGAGATGATCAACTCGTCGCTCATCTCCGGCGAGGGAGGCCGCTACTTCATCGGCGCCGTCGACATCTTCGGCTTCGAGTGCTCGCCGAGACAGCAGCGCGCTCGAGCGACATGCGAGCAGAGCGTCGCTTCACACACCGCGCGTGTACACCAGGTGCTTCCCGACAAACTCGCTCGAGCAGCTCTGCATCAACTTTGCCAATGAGCGGATGCAGCACATGTTTACGGAGGCTGTCTTCGAGTCGGTGACCGGGGAGATATGGGGAGATATAGACCAGCGCTGCGATCCTACGATCCCAACACACGCCAACCTCGGGGCGGGGAGACGAGTACACGCCAACAGCCCGCCAGTGTCAGCCAGTGGGACACCTAGCTGGACACCTAGCTGGCACGGACGGCGGGGCACACACACACGCACTCGCGGAGAGCACACACACAACCGGGGCATCACACGCGCCGCACGCCCCCACCGGCAGAGGCGAGGCCGCTGGCCTGGTGGAGAGGGCTTGCGCGGCGGCGCCTCTCTCGTAGGTGATCGCCGAGTACCAGAAGGAGGGCATCGACGTCGCCGACATCACGTTCGAGGACAACACCCCCCTGCTCGAGCTCATCGACAAGCCGGCCACCGGCATCCTCTCGCTGCTCGCCGAGGAGTGCTTCTTCCCAAACGGCACGGACGCCTCCTTCGCGCAAAAGATCAAGCTCGCGCACGCCAGACACCCGTGCTTCGCCGAGGTGAAGCTCGACCGCACCGCCTTCACCCTCTCGCACTTCCCGGGCAAGGTGACCTACCAGTCGGCCGGCTTCCTCGAGAAGAACAAGGACCCGCTCCCGCAGGACCTGGTCGTGCTCATGCGCTTCTCCGACGACGACTTCGTCAAGACCCTCTTCGAGGAGAAGAAGGGCGCCGGTGCGCGCCGATTCAAGTCGGCAAAGTTCGTCGGCGCGACGGATCGACGCGTCTCCGCACCGCTCGCTCGGTCTGTGCACGTGCGTCGCCTGACCTCTTTTAGGCGTGATCGACTCGTTCTCAATGATGTATTTACTCAATGAATAACATAATCGAGTGATCTCTTTTAGGCGTGATCGACTCGTTCCGCGTCTCGCTCAACGAGCTCGTCAAGACGCTCAGCGCGACGAAGACGCACTTCATCCGCTGCGTCAAGCCAAACATGGACAAGAAGGCGATGTCCTGGGACGAGGACGTGATGCAGCGGCAGCTCCGCACCTCGGGCGTGGTGCAGGCGGTGAAAGTTGCGCTTCCCCGAGCCCTGGTGGAGCCGTCGCCCATAGGCAGCTCTACACCTCGGGCGTGGTGCAGGCGGTGCAGGCGACGCGCAAGGGCTTCCCCGACATCCTCCCCTTCGCCGAGCTCCTCTCGCGCTTCGAGCAAGTCGTGCCCAAGGCGGCCATCGGCAAGGCGGGGGCCGAGGGCGTGCGCGCGCTGCTCAAGGGCGCCGAGGTGCCCGAGACGGACTACCGCGTCGGCAAGACCAAGGTCTTCCTCGGCGTGGGCGTGCTCGACCGGCTCGAGCAGCGGCGGATGGAGTACATCGCGTCCAAGGTGATCTCGATGCAGGTCCTGGCGCGCGGGTACCTCGCGAGGAGAAGGCTGTTGGCGAAGCGCGACGCGAAGGCGGGCGGCGACTACAAGAAGCAGCAGGAGGCGAAGAGGGCAGCTGAGGCCGCCTTGAGGAAGAAGCGCGAGGAGGCGGCGGCGGCGGCGGCCGCCGCGAAGGAGGAGGAGGCGGCGGCGAAGGTGCGGCAGGCGCGGTACCAGCGCGCGCGCAAGATGTCCTTCGAGCGGAAGACGGCCAAGAGCAAGAAGGAGGAGGCCGAGCAGGCCGAGCAGGAGAAGAAAGCCGCGGCCGAGAAGGAGAGCGAGAAGAAGCGCTTCTCGCTCTTCAAGAAGAAGGCGGCCGACGAGGCAAAGGCGGAGGCGCGGGCGGAGGAGGCGAGGAAGGCGGCCGAGAAGAAGAAGAAGGAGGACGACGTGTGGGCGCAGTACAACTTCCACTGCGAGGTGCGCCTCGGCAGCCAGAAGGGGGGGGGGGTTCCCTCTCGGTGACCTCGCATCTGCGTCTCGGCGGCAGGTGAGCGACATCCTCGGCTACGCCGAGTACATCGGCATGGACATCAAGGAGGACGCGCACCTGCTGTGGATCGCCGACGAGGCGCTGCAGGCGCCCGAGCCGCAGGGCTGGGAGCAGCGGCTCGACCCAAAGGGCGGCGTCTACTACTACCACGGAGTCACCGGCATGGTCCTCAACCAGCACCCGCTCGACCACCACTACCAGCAGGCGTGGGCCGAAGCGCCGCGCCCTCCAAACTGCAGAACCCTCCCTCTCGCCCGCAGCGACCTCTCCTCACACCCCTGAGCGTCCGCGCAGCCCTACTCAGTGACACTCAGTGACGCCTCTGGACCGCGGCGCCGCAGTTCTACCACTCGATGAAGGCCCAGTACGAGGCGCAAGCAACGGTGGGGCCCAAGCTGAGCAACGTGCTGTCGCCGACGGCGCACCTCGACACGATGAAGCGCGGCCAGATGCCGGCGCTGCGCGAGGTGAAGTTCATCAAGGACTCGGTCGAGTCGAAGATGGGCTTCATCTTCCACCGCACCGACGACGCGTTCGACAAGTCCTTCTTCAACGTCGAGGGGTCTGTCCAGCCCATCATCAAGACGGTGAAGCCCGGGGGGCTCGCCGAGAGCTCTGGCCTCGTCCCGGGTGACGTGGTGCTCTCGGTCAACGGGATCTCGGGGCTGAACAACTTCCAGGTGGTCGAGATGCTCCGCCAGGGCAAGGGGGTCTTTAACCTTGTCGTCTTTTCCGGGCAGCCGATCGTCTCGCTCGGGCAGCCAGTCAGGCAGCCAATCACGGCAGAATCCCTCGGGCTCGACCCGTGAACGGTCCGCGCGACTAGATTATTGTACTCACGGGAGATCGCGCGTCGCCTCTCGTGGAGAGCCGCGGGGCCGAGGCGCCACACTTGAGGCGCGGGGGGGTGGGGGGGTGGGGGGGGGGCTGCGTGTGGGAGAGAATGCGCGCCAACGGAGGAGGGGAGTGCGTGTTCGTTCAACGAGAGAAATGCCTCCTCGGCATTTCACGGCATTTGTTTAAAAGTCTCGCGCTTGGAACCGCCACTCCCCGTCCGCCTCTGGCCGTGGCTCTGTCTCTGCTCCAAGTCCAACCTGGCGCCGGCCAAACCCAAAGGCGCAACCAAGCCCGCCCGGGAACGTGCAGCGCCGCGTCCCCTGTGCCCCGCCGCGCCACGCCGATTGGTGCCGAAGCGGCGGATCTCCGCCCGCTGCTGGTCCCCGCACACGCCCGCCTGCGCCTTGGAGCCTGGCAGCAGCGGCGCGCCCTCCCAGCGGCCAGTGCTGCGCGAGACGACCTCGACGCACCGCAGACCCGTCCTGGCAAAAGCCTTAGCTCCGATGGAGGAGACGGAACCAGGTAGGGAGAGCGACGAGAGCGACGAGCAGTCGCTGAACGCCTTGGCGCCAATGCTCGTCACCGAGGCGGGGATTGCCACGGACCGGAGGGCCGTGCAGCCGCGAAGGGCGCCGTTGCCAATGCTCGTCAGCGAGCCTGGCAGGACGATCGACTCGAGCGTCGTGCAGCGCTGAAGGAGCTGGTCGCTGAGGCTGCTCACAGCTGGGAGACGAATGGAGAGCAGCGACGTGCACGCAAAGAAGGAGAGCTCGCCGATGGCGGTGACCGAGTCGGGGATGTCGATTGCACGCAGCGACGAGCAGGCGGCGAAGGAGGCCGTGCCGAGGGTCGTGACTGAGCTGGGAATGGAGATGGACTCGAGGGAAGAGCAACCGGAGAAGGTGCTGCTTGCAATGTTCGTGAAGTTGCTGTGGTGGGGGAGCACGACGCTTCGCAGCGCCGCGCACTGCTTGAAGGCGCTGTCGCCAATGCTTGCGACCGAGTCGGGCACGGCGAGCGACTGAAGAGAGATGCAGTCTCGAAAGGCGCTGTTGCCGATGGCGGTGACAGTCGGTGGGAGGAGTACGGAGGCGAGCGACGAGCAGCCGTAGAAGACCTGCTGCTCGAGGGCCGTAACCAAGGGCGGGATGTCGACGCTGCGTAGCGAGGAGCACTCCCGGAAGGCGCCGCTGCCGAGGGCCGACAGAGAGGGCGGGAGGGCGATTGCTGCGAGCGAGGCGCAGTACTGGAAGGCATAGTCGCCGATGCGAGTGAGCGATGGCGGCAGGGCGACGTCCGCCAGGGCCGTGCACCCCTTGAGCGCAAAGTCACCGATTTCGGTCACCTTGCCAGGGATGTCTATGGACGGGAGCGCCGCGCAGCCCATAAAGGCGCCCAAGCCAATGGCGGTGAGGGAGTCGGGCAGCTCGACCATGGCGAGACTGCTGCACCCGCTGAAGACGAGCTCACCGATACTCCCCACAGACGCCGGGATACGGACGTGTTCGAGTGCCGTACAGCCGCTAAAGGCGGCGTCGCCGATGCTCTCAAGCGCATCCGGCAACTCAATCTCACGGAGGGAGCTGCAGCCGAAGAAGGCGGCGTCTCCGAGGCTCTTGACGGTGGGCGCCGAGAAGGCTGTCAAAGAAGAGCACCCGTTGAAAGCCTGGTCCGCGATGCGCGTCACTGATGCGGGGAGCGCGATGGACTCGAGCGACGTGCAAGACTTGAACGCAGAGGCGGGGATAGCCGAGAGTGAGGCGGGAAGGGCGACCGAGCGGAGGGAGGTACAGCCCCACCAGGCGCCCTCGCCGACGTGCTGGACAGATTTGGGCACCTCGACTGCCGTCAGGCTCGTGCACCCGTAGAAGGCGTGCGCCCCGATGCTCGCGACCGAGCCGGGGAGCGAGAGGGAGGCTAGAGCCGTGGCGCCGTAAAAGGCGTTATCACCGATGGTGACGACGCTGCGTGGGATGTCGAGGGAGGTGAGTGATGTGCAGCCCTCGAGAAGTCGATCACCGAGGACTGCAATGCCGCGGGGAAGAGCAAGGGCTGCGAGGGATGAGCAGCCGTAAAAGGCGGCGTGGCCAAGGTGGGTGATGGAGTCGGGGAGCGTGGCAGAGGCAAGAGAGTAGCAGTCCCGGAAGGCGACGTCGCCCACGCTCGTCATGGATCGCGGCAGTCGTATGGATCTGAGCGACGAGCACCCCGCAAAGGCCTGGGTGCCAATGCGCACAACGCCCTCGGCGACTTCGACCGACACGAGCGCCCGGCAGCCGCGGAGGGCATAGTCACGTATGCTCGTCTCGGAGCTGGGGATGGTGAGGTGCCCCTGCGAATCAACGTCGCTGCACTTGACGGCGGTGGCCCTGCGAGGAGAGGCCAGGAGCCACGTCACGACGAGCGGAACCCGGAGTGCACGCATCGGCTGCAACGACGACGAGGTTGCGTGTTGCGCTGTTGCGTGGCGCGAAGTTCAAACTCATCGAAAAGGAAAAAATTCTTGGTAAAGAAGAAATAGACGTAACAAACTCACCGCCGCCACATCGCTCCCAAACGACCTGGGGCTCGGAACCCACACGGTTGTGTATCGCTTGTCACGGCCGCCAAGAAAGGGCGATGCCGCAGCGGGGTCAAGCTGTTGCCGTCACAGCCCGAGCTCCGCGAGCCCCGCTGCTGAGCCTGGTGGTGAGCCTTGTGCTGATTTCGCCGATCAAGGCTTTGGTAGTGTGGCCGCAGGCGCGCACGGGCCTCCCTCCGCGCGCCTGCGCTGCCCACCCACGCTGTGCGGTCGCCGGATCAACTAGCAGTGGTGACTTGTATGCATCGTTGGGCATCGATGCGACCGCGTCGGCGGCCGAGGTGAAGCGCGCGTATCGGCGTGCGGCGCTGCGGAACCACCCAGACGTCAACAAGGCAGCCGATGCGCAGGAGGCCTTTGCACGCATTGCCGAAGCCTACACCGTCCTCTCCGATCCGGAGCAGCGTGCAAAGTACGACCGGAAGCGCCGCGCGTCGGGCGGCGGCTGGGCGAGCGGCGCGTCGTCTCGGCCGGGTGCGACCACGGGCTGGGACCGGGGCGGCGGCGGGCGGCGCGGCGCGAGGCCGAGCGCGGCGAGCGCGGGCCGCAGCGACGAGTGGGAGGCGCGGAGGCGAGCGGAGGAGGCGCGGTACGACACGGGCGGGGACAGCTTCGGCGCGCTGCTCGGCGACCTCGTGTCGGCGACGGCAAAGGCCTTTGGCGGCGGCGCTGGCGGATGGGCGCGCACCGCCCCGCTCCCTCGCTCGCGCCGCCACCGCTCCCTTGGAGCTGTTGTGCGCCCTCACCACGCGCGGTCGGCAGGTGAGCTTGCTGGAGGAGCTCGCGCCGATGGAGCCCGAGGGGCTTGCCGAGCTCCTCTCCTCGACCGACACCGCCGCCCTCTCCGCCGAGCTCGACTCGGCCCAGTTTGTCGTCGCGCGGCTCGAGGAGCGGTGCGCGGCGCTCCAGGCGGAGCTCGGCCGCACCGAAGCCGAGGTGCACACACTCTGCGCGACCTCACCCTCACCTCCACACCAAAACACCGACACCAACCACCAGCCACCAGCCACCAAACACCACCAAACACCACCAAACACCAACCCTCGCGATGCGGCCGCGTTCCTCGCTCGGCGCGCGCCCCTGCCCTCGACCCCCCCCCCTACCTCTCCTCCGTCGCTCGCGCAGCTCGCCTCGCTCTCTGCTCGCGGCGCGGGTGCGGGAGGCGCCGCCATCGAGCGGTCGTACGAGCGCGAGCTGCGGCGGGAGGCGGCGGCGCGCCGGGACCGGCTTGCCTCCGCGCGCGCGCTGCTCAGCCGCGCGAAGGAGCGGCGCACCAAGCTCTCCGCGCGCCTGCAGCAGCTTCGATCGAAGGCAGCCGGCGGCGGCGGTGCCAGCGATAGCGATGGCGCGAGCAGTCCTGCCGCGAGCGGCGGCAGCGGCGGCAGCGGCGGGGCGTACCGAAGCGCTGGCCGGCGTGCCTCGGATCGCGGAGGCTCTTCAGCCCGGGGCAGGGCGGCGGAGCGAGAGGCTTCACGCCGCGGCTCCGTGGAGGACGAGCTCGACGCGCTCAAGCGCCGAATGGGGAGGAAGTGATTCCGCCACCGACGCCGTCGCGCGTGTGTCTTAAAGTAGGCTTACAGTACATACAGGATGTCAAGCTTTGGATATTGTGGAAGGCAAAGGGGACGTCCGCTGTGCTTTCATGAAAGGTCATATTTATCTTCGTAGGGAAGAATTTTGAATGATATCCGCCATAAACGCTTGCGTGGGGGCAGCTACGAGCTAGCTTTTCAGAAGCCGTTTGCGGCTTTTCTCCCCCACGCCGTTTTAAATACAATTTTTTCGGAGTGTATGAGTTTTGACTTTTGTCAACAGACAACAGTCAACACAACAACACTCAGGTCTCAGCAGGACGACTCTCACATGGTCATGGACGATCACGACGCATTCGCATAAAAGACAGACTCGACAATCGATCTTCTCTCTTCAATCGTCCAGTCAGTCTTCCTAAAGCCCCGCGACTTGAGCACTTGAGCACGGGATAGGGTCGATTCCGCGTGGTACGGGACCCCTCGATCGTCTCGCCCTCCCTCACTGGAGTGTTCATTTGGGGGGGTCATAACAAACACGGTACAGGATCGAGGTGCACGCTGCCGAAGCAGTGTCGTCCCCCCTCTCCCCGACGGCGATGGCGGTGACGCGGTGTGACCGATCGAGCTACAAGAAGAGCTTGTTCAGCAGGATCCGGGTTAGCCCGCGCACTACCTCACTGGGCCTGAGACCGCAGAGACGCTTCCCGTCACCGTCTCGGGTTAGTGTGGGATCGAACCACTCCGGGATGGGCAAGCCCATCGTTCTGATTGTGCCTTTCCCTCACCATCTGATTAATTGTCAAAATTCCTCTTGTGCAAGAGGGGAGAGGGCTCGGACGGAGCGCGTGGCGGGAGAGGGCAGGGAACCGCGACTTGATAATGTGTGTGGTAATCTGGTAAACCGCTTTCACCTGTATGTGTACTTTTAGCTTACTGGGAGAAAAGAGAGAGGGGGTTGTGTTCTCTAGACCCCTAAGGGCCCTACGCGCGGCGTGAGAGCTCGGAAGCGAGCTTTGCACGGCGATCGAGGATGGCACGGTTCACCCCCTTCACCGAAGCGATGGAGATGCGTTCCGCGTGGTGTGACACAAATGAGAGGCGGGAGTGGGGAGGGTACGCGGTGCGGTCAACGCCCGAGCGTTGAGCCTTGCGCGCAAGGCGGTTGATCTTTGCAACTGCTGGCGGCGAGAAGCCAAGCTGGGGCCGGTCCCGTAGCCGAGAGAGCCCGCGTCGATGATTCGGCGCGGTCGGGAGGCCTTGCGGAGAGACCAGCGAGTTGGCGATCGCTCATGGTACTTTTGGTGTCGTCATCTTCTCTATGTCAGTGTCTGTCCTGTGTGTGGCTCTTTCTTACGAACCGCACCGCCATCGCCGCCGACGTTTCCCAGTGAGACGATGGAGAGGGGGGACGATACTGCTTCAGCAGCGTGCACCTCGCTCGATCCTGTACCGTGTTTGTTATGACCACCCCCCCCTCCCCCCAACTCTGCTGGCACACGGCACGCGTCGTCACTCAGCCGCGGAGAACAGGCGGTGCAGCGCGCGAAGCGCGCGCGATCTCGTACTTTCAAGGCTGGATCCGGCCATTGCAAGGGTATACCTTTGAGAATCCCCAGCGTCCCACCCTCCTAGTCACACACACACACTCAATTTCTCGACTTGGCCAACAGCAACACGAAGTGCTGCGATCGAGGGTGGCCCATTTCTTTTTTCCTTTCTTTTTTGGGCCCTGTGGGCACCCTAGCGGCGGAGCCTGCGGAGGAGGCGCTGATCCTGATGGTCGCGCCGCCCGATGATGTCCACGACTAATTGTCGCTCGCCGTACTGAGCCTAGCGCAGCGCGAACTCGCCGTCTGAGCCTAGCGCAGCGCGAACTCGCTCCTGTCGCTGCGCAACCTCCATTTTTCTTTGCGGCGGCCCGCCTAACAAAGAAATCGCGAACGCCGAGTTGGTCCATGACGCCGGCGGAGGCGGAGCAGGCAGCGACGGCAGAGGGCTTGACACTGGTGCGCTCGTCGCGCTCCAGAAGCGGGTTCGAAGGCGTGTGCGCACACTCGAAAGGCAACGGCTTTGCGGTGAGCCGCAAGGTTGATGGGAGAAAGCAGCATATTGGCTGCACCGCGACGGCGGAGGAGGGAGCGCTGCTTTACGCGCGCGAGCTGGGAACGGAGGCGTCCGCAGCAGCGGCGGCAGCGGCGGCAGCGGCGGCGGCCGAGTCTATGACGCCGGCGGAGGCGGAGCAGGCAGCGACGGCAGAGGGCTTGACACTGGTGCGCTCGTCGCGCTCCAGCACCGGGTTCCAAGGCGTGTACGCAAGGCCGAAGGGGAGAGGCTTTAAGGTGACGCGCGAGCGTGATGGTAGAACGCAGTACCTCGGTTACGCCGCGACGGCGCAGGAGGGTGCGCTGCTGTACGCGCGCCATCTTGGCGCGGAGGCATCGACTGCGACCGATGCAGCGGAGGACGAGTACGCGGGACGCCAGGCGGTCGAGATGTCGAATGCAGCCGTAGAAGGGAGTAGAGAGGCACAACCAGCGACGGCGTCAAGGATGGTCGCGCGCCACCTGGGGGCGGAGGCGTCGTTGGCGGCGGCGGCGGCGGCGGCGGCGGCGGCGGCGGCGGCGGCGGCGGCGGCGGCGGCGGCGGCGGCGGCGGCAGCTGAGCCGATGACGGCGGCTGAGGCGGAGCAGCTGGCGGCGGACGAGGGCCTGGCGCTGGTGCGGTCATCGCAGTCGCAGACCGGCTTCAAGGGCGTGTCGAAGCGGGGTGGGCGCTTTGCGGCTGTGTTCGGGTCGCACCAAAGTGAAGAGTACCTCGGCATGGCTGCGACCGCGGAGGAGGCGGCGCTGTTGTACGCGCGCCACGTCGGGGCGGAGGCGTCAGCGGCGGCGGCGGCGGCGGCGGAGGCAGAGCCGATGACGGCGGCCGAGGCGAAGCAGCTGGCAGCGGACGAGGGCCTGACGCTGATTCCGTCGTCGCAGTCGCAGACGGGCTTCACGGGCGTGTCGAAGCACGGCAGCCGCTTTCAGGCTGTGTTCGGCCATGCGCACCTCGGCATGGCTGCGACGGCGGAGGAGGCGGCGCTGCTTATCGCTCGCCACCTCGGAGCAGAGGCGTCGGCGGCGGCGGCGGCGGCAGCCGACGGACGAGAGGAGGCGAAGCGGAAGAGAGAGGAGGACGCCGAGGACAAGGCAGTGGCCGCCGCGGAGAAGAGAGCAGCGGCAGCGGCCAAGAAGCAGGCGCAGAAGGAGGCGGAGAAGGCGCGGAGGGAGGCGCAGAAGGAGGCGCAGAAGGAGTGGCTGCGGCGCTCGCAGGAAGAGCTCGCCGCACGGCAGCGGCACGCGGCGGAGGAGCAGAAGCGCCTGCTGCGGGAGGCGGCCGAGCGGCGGGATCGCGAGCTGGGGCGCGAGGCGGCGCAGCGACCAGGCACAAGTGCGCCGGCGGCAGCGGAGCTCGACCCGCTCGCGACGGAGCAACCGATCGGCGCCATCATCGAGAGGGCGCTCAGCAGCACGTGCGTCTACCGTCGCCTCGGGGTGCCGCCGCACGCGCCGCGCGAGGCGTGCAGGGCCAGCTTCCTCCAGCTCGCCCGCCGCCTGCACCCCGACAAGTGCTCGCACCCACACGCGAAGGGGGCCTTCGCCGCCGTCGAGGAGGCCTTCCGCGCCGTTGAGCAGGCCTAGCCGCACCCAACATGCAACTTACGTACTCTACGCGGGAGGCCTTCCCGAGCGACCTTCGGCAGAGCGTTCTGGACCGCCCACGCTCGGTGGTCGGGGTCGCGAGGTGCTGCGCCATGGCTGTTGTTGGACGCGTTGGAGTTTTTTATGCAAGTCTTTTTTTTCTGTGTTGAACGATATAAAAGCGGCCTCACATGTCTCATGTGATTGGCCACGCCAACGCGCAACGGAGGCGCGCAGCCTCTAAACACCGCTCGGCCTCTCCACTCGGCTCAGCCGTGAGAACGCGCGAACTCAGAATCGTCTCCGCGCGTCCACAGTTGTCAAACAGGTATTGCTAAAAATCTCTCTCTCAGTTGTCGCGATCGCCCGGCGCGGCGGCATTGACATCCTTGACAATGAGGTGTCCAAACGGGCCACAGCGTGAGCATCTCCCGGCCGCACCCTCGTCCTTCTCGCCCTCGTTGCGAACGCTGGCGGCACCCGCGTCGCAGCGCGCGAAGTCAGAAAAAAGAAATCACAGGAGCCATTGCCGCCGCAGCCAAGACGTCGCAAAAACCCTGTCATGCCCGGCCCGCCCTCACGCGCCACGGCCGCGCTCCGCACGCCGCCGCCGCCGTCTGCCGGCAGCGGGCCGGGTGATGGGTTCCCAAAGAACGTCTTGAAGGCGGCTGCGGACGGCTGCGTGGGACCGGTGCGACTGTGGCTGAATGAAGGCGGGAAGGCGGACACGCTCTTCAACGCTGAGTCTCAGTACGGCCATACTCCATGCACCCTGCTCATCTTCTCCGCGAAGGCCGGGCACGCACAGATTGTCGAGCTCCTCCTGAAGCGTGGCGCAGACATCAACCTGCAGAACGGTCGCGCCAACACAGCGCTGAACACTGCCGCCTACTACGGCCACGAGCGGGTGGTGGACGTGCTGCTGCAGCACGGAGCGGAGATAGACTCGCAAGATTCGGCCTGGCCGGCACTGGCAGCGGCGGCGCAGGGAGGGCAAGAGCGGATGGTCGACCTGCTGCTGCGGCGTGGCGCGGAGATCGACCTGCAAGACCGCAACGGCTGCACCGCGCTGATGCTCGCCGCCTACTTCAACCACCCCTCCGTAGTGCTGCGACTGCTGCGGGCGGGCGCAGACATGGCGTTGCGCGACGAGGACGGCAAGACGGCGCTGCAGTGGGCCAAGGAGAAGGGCCACGCCGAGTGCGTTGAGGCGTTCAGGACGTATCTCGGGGAGGTGGCTGCGGTCCGGAGCAAGGCGCCGTCGGCCGAAGCAGGCGGCGCCGGCGCGGCGGTGGGTGCGAGAGCCGCGGCCTCTGCTTCGAGCGGCGAGGGCGGCGAGGAGGCCGAGCCGGGCAGCGGGGCGTTGCCAGAGGAGGTTGTGCAAGCGGCTCGGCGAGGCGAGGAGGCGGCGCTGGCGTGGCTCGACGGCGGCGGGCGGGTCAACGCGACGTTCGAGTACGTCTTTTCGGACGGCTTTCGTGCGAGCGGCGTGACGCTGCTGATGATCGCAACGATGAAGGGCCACGAGGGGCTGGCCGAGGCACTGCTCCAGCGCGGGGCGGATGTATCGTTGCATACCAGCAAGGGCATCACCGCGCTGCGTCTCGCCGTCTTGAACGGCCATGAGAAGCTGGTCGAGTTGGCGCTGCGGCACGGCGCGGTGGTCGACCAGGGATACGAGTTTGGCGGCACCGCGCTGATGAGCGCCGCCGGCAAAGGCCACGAGAAAGTGGTCGACTCGCTGATCAGGCACGGCGCGGCGATCGACCTTCGGTGCAACAAAGGCAACACCGCACTGATTCAGGCCGCTTTCCACGGCCAGTCCGCCGCCCTTCTCCGCCTGCTGCGGGCGGGCGCAGATACGACGCTGTGCACTACGGCGGGCGGGACCGCGCTGCAGTTTGCCAAGCACAAGGGCCACGCCGAGTGCGTGCGCGCCCTCGAGGAGCATGCGGCGGCGGAGAAGGCGGCGGAGAAGGCGGCGGCGGAGGCGGCGTGGGCCGCGGGAGCGGCGGAGAGGGCGGCGCAGAGGGCGGCGGAGGAGAAGGAGGCGGCGCGGCACGCCGAGGAGCTGCTAGCGGAGGTCGAGGCGGAGACGCGCGCCAAGGGCAAGAAGGGCAAGAAGAAGAAGAAGAAGGGCGGCGGGGCGGGCGGGGCTGCGGGGCCGTCGCAGGAGTCCGAGGCGCCAGCGGAGGGTGCCGAGGCGCCGTCGGAGGCAGCCGCAGCCAAGGCGGCGAAGAAGGCCGAGGAGGCGAGGCTTCTCCTGCTTCTCGAGACGCTCACCGAGGAGAGGATGCGGCTCGGCATCACGCCGGAGAGCCAGGCGGCGGCGTCGGCAGAGGTGGCCGAGGCGGCGCGCTTGGACGCTGCGGCGGACGAGGCGGAGGAGGAGGCGGACGAGGAGGAGGAGGCCGAGGCGGCGGCCGAGGCGGCGGAGGCGGATGCCGAGGTAGCGCTGGTGGCGGCTCAGGCGGCGTTTGAGGAGGCGAGAGCCGCCACAAAGATGAGGCGTGCTGCTGCCGTCGCTGCGAGGGCCAGGGCAGCCGCCGCCAGGATGGCGGCGGAGGCGGCCCAGCGCTCATAGCGTGAGCTGCTCAGAAGAAGCGCGAGGCCACTATCCTGCGGATTGTCTGGGTGGAGCTTGGGAGCTTCCGTCGAGGACGCGCTCGCCGGAGGGTCATCATGCTTGAATCATGCACTGAGATGGGGCGGGCGGCGGGGCGTGCTCGGAGGGCAGGTGGGGAACGTGGCCTGGTGGGGTGGCCCGGGAAGCGTAGGCCGTTAGCGGGATCGACCTGTGGCGCTTTCAAACTACACATGAAATTGCTCACAGATCACATAAAATTGCGGCACTTGGAGCACTTTAGTTTTGGACACACACACACACACACACACACACACACACACACACACACACACACACACACACACACACACACACACACACACACACACACACACACACACACACACACACACACACACACACACACACACACACACACCGCTCACCCACGCGCACCGGGCCTTGCACTTTAAATGCCGTGGGGCTCCTGTCGTTAGACGTGGAGACGCGAGGGTCGCCCCCCCTTGCCCCACCACCTCGTGTGTGTGGAGAAGTCTACCTTACCTTACCTTACTTTTGGACGTTGGAGTGCAGTCGGTCCGCCCTCGGAGATTAAATAAATAAACAACGCAGACATCTCCTGGAGAAGAGGATGCCGCAAAGAAAAAGAAAACAGAGAAGCCAAGGGAGGGATGGGAGGACGGCACGCCGCCACCACACAGGGATTTTAAGGAGAGGAGTGTGGTGCCAGCCGTCGCCCACCCTGACCCTTGGTCGTCTGCCTCTTTCTATCTCCCTTCGCAGTCCCTCGCCGATTCTCGCTGCAACCTTCATGCCACCTCGCGGTCGTCCCACTCTCGTCGTTCTCCCTCCTGTCGTTTCCTCCGTGCAAGCCCCACCCGGCTGGCGAGTGGGCTTGGGGGCGTGCCGCCCTGCTTGCTCTAGGTGAAACGTCTAAAGGACGAAGAAGCACGAGGGTGCGACCAACTCCGCACGACGGGCGGAGAAGACGGGCACTAGAACCAGGGAGGACTGGGAGAGTGTGAATGGAGAGGGACACGTGTGGTTCAGACGTCCTCCTCTGTCGCGTCGTTCTCGTCTGCCTCGTCCTGCGACGCCGCCCCCGCCTTCCGATCCCTTGCTCTCGCGGCTTCTCCCGCCTTTCGGCGCAACTCGAGAGCGCTTTCTTTTTGGGCACACACACACACACACACACAGAGAGAGAGAGAGAGAGAGAGAGAGAGAGAGAGAGAGAGAGAGAGAGAGAGTAGAGTAGAGTAGAGTAGAGAGAGAGAGAGAGAGAGAGAGAGAGAGAGAGAGAGAGAGAGAGAGAGAGAGAGAGAAGAAATAGACGAATTACGGCGCTCACACACCAGTGGTCGGGGCACCCCGCTCGGTTTGAAGGCGTGCCACCTTCAGGCTGACCGAATGGCTCCAAAGCGTAAAGGCAAGGCCCCAAGCGCTCCGACTGCGAAGGCGCCAAAAGCAGATCCGAACAAGCCAAGCGACAAGCAGCTGTGCAACATCCTCAAGTGCTTCGTGCGGATCGCGGGGGGTGGCGGTGCCGCCTATTTTCCGGACTCTGTGCATAACTCCAAGGGCTTCTCGTCGGCGTCCGTGGCCCCTCTCTCCACATCAGACGGCGTGACGCTCAAGCTCGGTAAGGGCGCCAAGGAGTTTCTCGCATCGCTTCCCCTGACCGACAGCTCAAGCTATTGCGAGCTCTGTGCCGACTACGCAAGCGCCGTGGTGAGCGCCCGGCTCCAGTACGGCGATTTCAACCTCAACGACGGCGAGTGCCGCTGGCAGCCGGTCCGCTTTAGAAGGCCTTCGAGGCGTAGTGAAAATCTAGCGCACAGTGCAGCTCTCATAGGTCTGAGCAGGCGGCCACGTTGCTGCAGGTGGGAGTGCACTTCCTCCCCCTCCTCGTGTACGTCGAGACCGAGGCCCTCGCAAAGCAGTGGCTCGAGGTGTTCTTTGACTCGGCCGAGTGCGACCCCGAGGATGTCGGTGTGGGCGGCTGCGTCGAGAATGACAGCGAGTGCTGCGTCATCAAGGACTACCTCGCCGAGCTCTCCCCGAAGCCCTCGTCGTTCGCGGACTATGTGAAGGCGAGGGAGAAGCTGGCGCGTGCGGCGCGCCAGCTGCAGTCGTAAGTGTCGCACACGCCCGAAGCCCTCTCGCTCCGCACACCACTCTGAGTGCCAGCATGGAGGTTGGAGCATGCCGTCTTGCGAGTGGTGTGGCCCTGGAGGGTTGGTGGGTTGCGCGTGACCGTCTTGCGTGGGACGGATGTCCCAGCGGTCTGCAAAGGAGGGCAGTTTGTTGTTAGGCGAGCACTGTTAGAGGATTCCGACCCGAGATTGACCCGAGATCGAACCGAGACCGAACCGAGACAGACCCGAGATCGACCCGAGATCGACCCGAGATCGACCCGAGATCGACCCGAGATCGACCCGAGATCGATCGGCACGAGCGATCAACCCAACAATGCCCCAGAGCCCCCTCCGGGGGGACCCCCCCTCCACGCCGGACTTTCTTTTTTGGCACAGTGAAGCCCGGGGGGAAGGCCAGCCCTGGCCAAAGAAACCAGCACCTCCTCATCGGGCTTCCCTGAGCGTCACAGCTCGGTGATCGCGCCGGCCGGACACCACTGTGACGTCCGTTCCGGGCATTTGAACGCGACCTTCGGGGGCAAAGACATGGGCTCTATGGCTCAGACTGGACTCCTCTTGGTCCCTTCTGATGCCCTAGGCCACACCTGGGCCTTACCTGGGGTCCTAGGGGCCGGGCAGGGTTTGCCCCCCTAAAGGGGCCCGAAGAACCTTAATAGAAATCGCATCAGGCCCTCCACAACCCTCAAAATTTTCTTCGGGGCGCGCTCCGCGGGCGGCGCTCCGCGCCTGACTCTTGAGCGTCATAGGCGCTGGTTCGCACATAAATAAATAAATACAACGGACATCCCAAGCTAGGGCTGGGTCGAGGACAGACACGTCCCCACCTTTGCAGGATTTTGCAAAAGCGAGGGGGGAGGGCGCATCGCCGCGCGGAGAGGGCTGGGCACAGGGCACAGGGATCTCTCTCGCATAGGATATGCACTCGGCGGCACGAGGGCAATGCTGGGCGTCCTATGTTTGTGCTCCCCCCCGGACCCCTCGCTCTCGGGCACTAACCATCTGACCACTCATCGACGGGGCTTGGCGAGCGGCCGCGCTGCGGGGCAGGGCTGGTGAGAATGGGCTCTGGCCACTCGCCCGTGCGGTTGTAACCGCGCATCAGCCGAACGGAGGCCTCGACCGCCCCTCGCGGCAAGCTCTCGAGCATCTCGAGCAGCTCGCCCGCCGCCATCGCCGCCTCGAACTGCTCCCACATGCCGAGCGCGCCGCAGACCTTGCGTACAGCCTCTTGCTGCACCTCGTCCGGTACATCGGTGTCGTAGCCGGACGAGTCGGCGGAGGATGCCCGCTTGGCGGGCGGAGAGTACGGCGAGGGCACTTGGAGCACTTGGAGTGCAGTTATTAACCTCACATCCAGGGCCGGGGAGCTCAGAAGCGCACCCAGCGGGCCGGATGATCGGGATCGGGTTACGGGCTAGAGAGCCCTAGCCCCGGGGGTGCGCGTTCGCAGGGAAAGGGCCGTAAAGTAAACACTGGTCTCCGAGGGTTGGTTCCGTGTACCGGGTTTCCCCTTAACTTCAATCGATTTCAGAACGCCCCCTCTACACGGAGCTAGTAGACACGACGCTGTACACCACGCACGTACACAGGTCCTCACTCAGCATCCCGTCCCAGGGTTCCACTGCTCGACTTCCCGGGGCTCCGGTTCTCCCTGATTCGCTCTTTTATTCGCCAGCCGAGCGTCGCCTGACGGTCGCTGTAGCCGTTTCTGATGTCTCTTCTTTGGCCGAGGTCTCTCGCCTCCGCTTCACCTCCGACTGGTACCGCAGCCTCCGAGAGCGTCGACGGCCCGGCCGGGGTCTCCCCGGGCGAGGACGGCGGCCTTAGATCGTGTCGCCACCCCTCCCAGGGAGGTCGAGCCCGCTCTCCCTGGTCGGCGAGTCGTGCCCGCACTCGTGGCCTCTCTATCGTCCCTGGCTCGCCCCCCCCCTCCGCCGGCTCCTCTCCAGGCTCGGGGAGGCGTGGCCCTCCCTGTCGAAGGTCGTGGTGGTCCGGTTGCCACTGCGGCTGGCCTTCCTTCGGTGAGCCCGTACGTCCCGACTCCACTCTCAGAGGCCGCGTTAGCTCATCTCTCACCTCCTCCGACAACTGACCCCAAGCCCCCCCTCGGGTCCTCCGGCCTCGGCTTTCCGGTTCGCCGGCGGGTCCGCTATCGTACCGCGGTAACTCCTCTCCCCCATCTCCTCCTCCCGGGTACACCAGCTTCCGGCGGGGCGGTCCCGGCCCCCCCAGGTTATTCCGAGCGGGTCCACACGGCGGCGGCCCCGCCGGCGGCGGGGGTGGAGGCGGTGGCAGGGGCGGCGGGTACGGTGGCGGCCCTCGCGGCCCAAACGCCCGGTGTGGAGCCGCTGGGGCGGCCCCACGACCCTGCAGCCGTTCCAGTGGCGGGGGTGGAAATGGCAGTGTGGGTGGCGGAAACGATGGCGGCACTGGCGGCCGCACCGCCTGGTGCGGAACCTCAGGGGCGGCTCCTCGACCCAGCGGTCGCTCCAGCGGCGGGGGCGGAGGTGGTGGTGGCGGGGGCGGGCCCGGCGGCGGCGCCGGCCGCCGCACCTCCTGGGGCGGGGCCTCGGGGGGTGCCCCCTGCCTCTGCGGCCATTCCAGCCGTGGCTCCACGTGTCGGCCGTCCACCCCGCTCGTGAGGGGGGGCCTAGCTCTCGTCTCCCCTCGGGGAGGGGGGGGGGCAGGGCCCGGATTCGTCGACGGCCCCGCCTCTCCCCCCCCCCCCTCTCCGCATCAGGCCGTAGACTGCCCAGTAGTCGCGTCGCATCCCCCCTCGCCTGGTCCTTCTCGATTCGGTCCCGCACCGCCCGGATATCAAAGGCCGAGTTGTGTTCGGACAGTGGGCCCGCCGATGCCACACGCCTCTTCACACAGCAGGCGTACGCCTTCATCGCCTGTCCCCCCGCCGACGTCGGTCCTGGTGCAATATCGTTGACGAGGTAGTCCTCCCCCTCCCACCGGAAAACCTGTCCAAGAAGATCTGTCGAGCCGACCAGTCGTTTAGCCAAGCCCCGCACCTCTCGTGCCTGTACTGGCCTGAGCACGCCGGTGCTGTCCGCGACCGACAGACCGATCGCCCTAAGTTCCGCCAGGACCGCCTTCTCGCCCACCACCGTGGCCTCTTGATCCCTCTCGGCTTCTCGGATCGCATCCCGTCGTTGTCTCACCCTGTCTGCTGCCGGCACGAACCTCTCCGGGCTGCCTCGCGTCCTTTGTGGCAAGATCCGCGTCGGGGAAGGCCGATCCCTAGGTGCATCCCCGGCTCGGGGTGCGCTCGCCTGCTGTGGCGGCTGCCGCCCCCTCGCCGCCAATCCGTCTTCTCGCCTCCTCTTCTCACGGACCACAGGGGCTGCACAACAAAAGCACACAAACACTCCCTGTCCCTGCATGGCTTGGCGTAGGCGCGTCCTCATCCCTTCCTCCGCCTCTCCTTCCACCCGCTCCGAAATCCGTTCCAGGATGGCGCTAACCACCTCTTCAGCCACTCCCGTAGCCGCAGGTCCGTCTTCCGGCTTGACGTGGAACAGTGTGCGAAATTTACCGCAACCCCTGCCTAGACGAGTACAGCTAAAGAGTACCCGGGGCTCCCCATACGGGAGACCTCCCTGTGGGGGCCCGTGAACATCTTTAGCTTGTGAGCCAGGAAAAGGGTTGAATTTACCGCCGCACCCATGACAGGCGGCTAGCGTGGGGAAGCGCTCCATCCCGAGCGACTCGAGAGGGATCCCCACCGCTTGCCAGTGGCGCGTCACTTGTATCGCCCGCTGCTTGGCCACCCGGGCCACCATCCTCAGGGCGCCGCATTCAGTGCACTTTCTTTTTTGGCACGGTGGCAGCGAAGCCCGCGGACTTATCACCACACCCCCCGCTTGAGCCGTCGTGGTCGCGGACTTAGTGGCATATATGGACGAGGATGCGGCGCTCGCGGAGCTCTGCGTGCTCACTGGTCTCGAGCCCTCCTCGGCGCGGCACATGCTCGCAGCCGCCGGCAACGTCGAGCTGGCGGCAAGCCTGTACTTTGACGGCAGTCCAGGCGCTGTGTCCGATGCGTCCGACGGTGAAGGAGCAATCTTTCAGATCGACGACTTGGAAGCGCCCTCAATCGAGGAGGCGAGTGTGCGCCAGAACGTGCCGCAGCACGGCCGCGCGGGCCGCGGTCGCCGGCGGCGCGGCCGCGGCAGCGCTTGCGAGTGGGATGGGGAGGGCCTCGATCCACTCGACCTCTTTGCGGAGACGGACGAGACGCTGCTGATAGACAGCAGTCGAACCGCGGGCGGGCGCCGCCGTCGTAACTCACGGCGCGCCGGTGACTCTTCGGACGGGGAGGAGTTGCCGTCGGGAGGCCGCGCAAAGGGCAAAGGCAAAGCCAAGGCGGCGGCGGCGGCGGCGGCGGGCGTGCAGAGCTCCTCAGCCACGAGTGACGCGATACCCGTTCCGGTGCGAGTTTTGGCGGCCCTCGTGCCCACCATCGTGGGCGCTCCTCACACGCGTCCCGCCTGCGTCAGGCGGCAGGCCGGCGGCGCGAGAAGAAGGCGCTGCAGAGCAGCCGGCGCAGGGAGGAGGGCCTGCCACGAGCGGGGAGCTCTCCCCGCGAGGGAGTCGTCTCGCTGGGGGGCGGCTCGCTCTCCGACGGGAGCGACCGCAGCGAGCAACCGCGCAGCGGAGTGCAGTCGCACGCCGGCTGGAGCGCGCCCGCGTCTTCGTCGCCGTCGGGCAGGTCGTCGCGGCGCGGGGCGGCGCCGTCCGCCCTGCTCAGCACGGGCGAGCTGCGCGGCGCTGGGGTGCGCACCGTTGGCTTCGCGGCGGGGAGCGGCTCCCTCGACGCCCCGGCGGCGCCGGGACGCAGCGGCGGCGCAGCTTGCCCGGCGCCTTTTGCACGACGCCTCTCGGAACTTTCCTTAGGCGGCGCAGGGCAGCCGAGGCGGCGCTCGCTGCGGCCCCCGCGGCTCGGCCTCGGCCTCGCCCTCCGTGTCGCCCTTCCACACCCCGCTTGCGGCCGAGGCGAGCCCGCCGCCGCCCCTCGCCCTCGAGACGGCTCCTGCGCCGCCCCGCCGGCGCGGAGGCGGAGGCGAGGAGGGCAGCCGCTGCCGGGCCGAGCGCGCGATCTCGCGGCTTCTGTGGGACCCGACATACGACGCAGTGCGGGCGGGCCTGCTCGTCGAGTGGGACTCGCAGCAGGACCGCCGCTCCCGCCGCTCCGGCGCGGCCGCCTGGTCTGCGCGGGTGCAGACAGTGCGGTGCGGCACGCTAGATGGCGGAGAGACCGCACTGTCCCTTGTGCAGACTGCAGACAGTGCTGAGAGACGCCACATCCCTGTGTGATCTGGCCACGTGGTCTCTCAACCAAGCACTCGAGAGACGACGACCACCTCCGGCTGTGCTCCGTGGCCTCGCCCTGGTGGTCGCGTGCCCTCGTGTCCCCGCGGTGCTCTGACGGCAGCGTGCCTCTGACGGCAGCGTGCCTCTGACGGCAGCGTGCCTCTGACGGCAGCGCGCCTCTGACGGCAGCCTGCCTCCGTCCTCGAGGTGCGTCACGCCCCTCTCGCTCTTCCTGCAGCTGCAGTCGGGACGCGCCACAGAGGCGGCGGAAGAGGGGCTCCAGGCGGAGGCCAAGGGGGAGGCGGCGGAGGCGGCGGAGGCGGAGGAGGAGGGGGAGGAGGCGGAGGCGGAGGCGGAGGCGGAGGCGGAGGCGGAGGCGGAGGCGCACCACGAGGAGGGCGCGCCGAGCCGCCTTGCGACGCGCCCCGTCTCCATCCCGGGGACCCCCTCCACCCCGGGGAGTGGCTCGGCGCTGCGCCACTCATCCCTCCCGTCCAAAAGCAGCTTGAGGTCGTCGCCGACAAGCTACCCTTGCTCGGCGTCGCCCTCTACCTCGCTGCTGTGCGGCCGCTCTCCGGCCTTCTCCCCACTCTCCGATGCGGCGCCATGCGACGGCCGCGGCCGAGGCGCAGACAGCAGGGCCGGGCGTCCCCCCTTCCACCTGGTCACGGCGCTGCTCCTGCCGCCCGCGTCCTCCCCCGCCACTGCCGCCGCAGCGCACACCGCTCTGTGGCACGTCGAGTGGAGGACAGACACGCCGCGCATGCCGCCGGCGCCCCCGCTCGACCAGGGCGGCGGCGCCGGCGCGCCGAGGGCGGCAGCCGACTCGGCGGAGGCGGTCGAGGGCGACGCGTGCGCGCCGACTCCCTTGCCGGAGCTGCCGCTCGACTTGTGGCCGATGGTGCTCGACGGGTGCCTCGGCCGCGAGCTCTGCGCCCTCGCGGCGACGTGCCGCGACTTGCACGCGGCGGTGGGCGCCTCGCACTCCTTGTGGGCGCGAGAGCACGGCCGCGTTCTCGGCGAGGCGCCGCCGCCCGACCTGAGCACGGCTGCGGTGCGCGCGGTGCTCCGCAGGGCGGAGGCGCGCATCGCTCCGTGGATGGCGCCGCCCCCCCTCGCTCTGCTGCAGTCGGGCGCCGCCGCCGCCGCCGCCGCCGACGGAGGCGGTGGCTTCGCTACTGCGCCGGGAGTGCGCGCGGCCAGGTACGACGGCGAGGGACTGCTGATCTCTGCCGACGGCGGCGCGGTGCGGCTGTGGTCGATGGAGCGGCGGCGGCGAATCTGCTCGCTCAAGAGCAGCCA